AAGATCTGAAGAAGGGTCTAGGCCCGAAACGTCAGCTTTCCTGCTCCTCTGATGCTGCTTGGCCTGCTGTGTTCGTCCAGCTCTACACCTAGTTTATTTGTAGCTTTGTTTGTTAAAACTATTTGGATTTTTTGGGGTTGGGGCTCATGATTGGAGCTGGGGGTTGAGTTGAGGTGAATTGCACTGAGTTAACCCAGGTCTTAAACTGTGTAATAATTCCTGGGTAAATATTTAAGTTAAGTCCAACATTTCTAACCCAAGTTTCACCTTGAGCTCGGGGTCAGAAATATTCATAAAAGATCCTGGGTAGGGGAAATTAGACCAGTGGAAGTTTAAACTTCCTGAACAAATTTGCATCTATGTCTTTGTGTCAGCACTCTGCAAGGTCCTGATGTGCAATTCTCAACTCACATGTAAAAGAGCATGTAGTTTGTTCATGAATGCTGTAACAATTGATGGTAAACTGTTGACATCAACAATTGTATTTCCATCAAATAAAAAAAAAACTCCCACTGTGAAGCAGGTAGAGGAACAAGTAAACCAAAGATCTAAATACAATTTCTGGCTGGGGGAAGGTGAAGCAGAATGATACTGTCGGTTTGAAAAAAAACCTAAGTAGCAAAACAACATTTTTTAAAAAAAATCTATTTATCACTCAAATTACTGATACCTTCTCACCATTTCCTATATTAAATTGTGAATAAAGTGGCATTTTTGTTTGATTCTGAATCAATATTAAAACACGGAACCAAATTTTTCTGACGTTTGAGAAAGAATGTGAGCTTGTAGGAATCAGCAAAAAATCAAGTCCCAGAGACTTGTTATAAATCAGATTTACTAAAGGTTACCTTGAAAAAATCAGTCTACACTGATATGTTGAGTAATATGATATTTGCAAAATGCAAATATACTTCACTGGAACTGGAATCACAAAGTAGGTTCCTGTGGCCAGCAATATGCTCTCTGGATTTGCAGCTTCATTGTTACTTGGATTGGAGTTAGTTCATTGTTTCTATAAGATCAACACCAAAGATACTAAGCTACCAATTCCCTCAAACCTCTGCTTAAGAATTGGATAATTATTCCATCCAATGTTACAACTTTATACGACAGCAAAATTTCTTGCTCTGGTTGCAGTCTTATCTACTTTCTACAGGAGAATGAATGAAAGAAAACTGGCAATTTAAGTGCCATTCTTGGGTTGCTGTCATGCAGGCATATTGCTCTGCTTTGTATTAGGCAGAGCAGTCCTGTTAAGGAGGTCTGGAAGCTGGTTGAATGTTAATGTTAGTTACTGTATTTGGCTAGTGGCCTGAATAATAATGGATTAACACAGACACTTCACCTGGAAGTAGAAGGATTGTAGACTGCATAAATACATGGCTGTAATCTAATACCAGTTTAGATAGTGAAGAAGAAATCTCTCAAGATTCCCCCTCATAGTTTAAATAATACTTTGCCAACAAACAGTATGTCTGTTTGAAGGACATTATTGGCAAGAATGTTGAATTATTTTCTCAATTTACAGACCCTCTGTAATATTGATTTTAAAATATGTTTACTTTTAATGACCAACTATTAATGCAAATTTTAGCAGAGAGAAATTTGAGGTTTTTTTGTGAAGTATATTTGCATTTGAGTTTTAAGTTACAATTTATTATCTATCAGTTAACATTAAGCAACAGAGGGAAATGTAGCAACTGTTACATAGAAAATATGTTGACACATTTTAAGAATGTTGTTGAAAAATGTTGCTTAACAGAAAAAAATGAAGTGTGTTTCCACCTTTTTTTGATACCTCTGCAGTGGTATGAGTTTTAAAATCCTCTATTTTCAGTCTTCTCAGCTTCAAACTGAATTTCCTTTGCGCAAAACAATTCAACATCTATTTTAACAGATTTTTACTACACAAAACCATTCCTATTCGATTCTAGCGAGTAACTTTTGAAATCATTGTTCAGAGTGCTTTCAGTTTACAAGCCCAAATGTGGCATTAAGCACTCTTTCAGATAGACTCACTGGGGAACTGTTACATGTTGATATCAGCAAGCGGCAGCACATTTACAGAGAAACAAGACTTCAAGGCTATTCTTGGTATTAAAATTATCTGAAGAAGTACACCAATGTGCAGTTCACTGCAGATTGTTTGAAGCAGTTAAAAACCAATGCCATGAAAATCTTGAGGAACAGAATCAAAGCACCCTTTAAGAATTTCCACAAACATCACAAAACTATGATGTGAAAACATGTTATGCTGTCGGATGTAGACTTAATCCTTTGCAAGCAACAATGTTTTTGGGTTAATATGCACACAAAATTGACTTTTCGAAATAGAACTTTTGTTTTCAATGTCTAGTAGATTCATCAGAGTTGGCACATGTTTCAATGATTTCTGAAATTCATTAAATTGTCAAACTGTTTCAGATACTTCTTCTGTGGTAGTTTCCTTCTGTCGTTCATCTTTTTCAAATGAATTGTATAAAATAGTGACAAATTAATTTCCTTTTCTAGTTATGCTAGTTGTCCAACTGCAAAGTATCAAGAATATTCAACTCTGACTGTTTTAATGCATTTACTTTCCTACAAAATATGACCTTTTGCAGATACGCTCTGTTGCAATACTAAAACCATGCAATGAAATTGTATCAGTTGTGCTGGTAATTCTCATCAGTAATGTTGCATTGGAGACACAGATTTTAGGAGTGTAATGCTGGGAAAAAGGATGCTGTTCTCAATTTCTATGTTCCATTTAGGAACTGATAAATACAGAGTTGGCAGTGCTGTGCTTTAAATATTTTTTGTTTTGTGGATCTATTGCAGAATTTGTATTACAAGTATCTATCCCATGCAGTACAACCTCCATTATCTACACTCCAATTAATTTCCTTCTCAATTACTTAGATTTCTCATAGATTGCTTGCACAATCCACTAAAAATGAGGTTCCTAATCAATGGCATAAATCACCCACAATAGACTGTACAACACAAAATTCATGTGTGTGTGTGGGTGGATGGGAGGGTGTGTGTGTGTGTGTGTGTGTGTGTGTGTGTGTGTGTGTGTGTGTG